GTGTGTTTAAATAATCACAAATGGTGTAACTCTACACTCCTTCCCCATCCCCAGTGTGTGTGTTTAAATAATCACAAATGGTGTAACTCTACACTCCTTCCCCATCCCCAGTGTGTGTGTGTTTAAATAATCAAAAATATTGTTAAAAAAATGTGATTGGTAATAACATTCTTGTAACTTTTTGTTATAGTTGAAGTTTTTTTCTAATTAAACTGTTAGTGCTCTTCTGTTCTATTTTCCTGTTTATTAGGTATCTTTAATTAATAAACAGCTTTTTGTTAAAAAGACTGCGACTTTTAATCTGCTTAGAATAGTGACTGTTGAATAATGATTTGTTTTTCTTAAGTCAACTACAGTTCTTTTAATTAGCCACAATAGGGTACTTTTGCAGTGCAAGTTTACTGTATGTAACTATACAAGTATGATATGTATGTGTACATAAACAAAGTACATAGGTTTACTTATTTAAAATGTAAAAACTTGATTGCTGTTCTATATGACATATTTTTAAACTACATGCGAATATTTTATTTCATTGTATGAATTTTGTGTAAAATAAGAAGGTTTCCAATTAAATGCAAACTTGTAGTTATGATGATATCATTTGTAAATTATGCAAATCAGTATTATCAAAGGTTTGAATCTTCATTTGGTAATGTCTACTAAACCTTTGAAGGTCAAAATCTACCCCACACAGTTATGCAGTTGAATGCACTTTCTTGAATTTACATATTTCAGAATCAGGCAGTCACACCAAAATTAACGATGACAAAATTAACTTTCAAATTCTTTTCTAAGTATAATTTAATAGTTCACACATGTCACTGTAGGAGATGCATGAAGGAAAATTAACTTAGGTTATATGGGTGCTTTGGTGAATCATGAGATTCACTCTTACACTTAGCATGATGTTTGAGATATACCTTTTATGTTGATGCCTAACCATCCTTCTAGACTTTTCTTATTAACTCATATATTTTAAAAATACTTCCTATTTGTTTTGTTACCCTTTCCAGTTTTGTCTTGTCCTCTCCCTTCCCTCAAGTTTTCAGCCAGTCAACCAGATCCTGTTTATTGCCAGTAGTAGTTTCTTTTGCCACTTTGGTACACCATTCTGTACTGTATAACAAGTTCAGAAGTTTCTGAAATAATTTGGACATCCACCAGTGTTATATTTTTTCTAGAAAGATTTATTGTATGTCTTATCTTAGAATAAGGTATATGTATGTTTTGTATTTTATTAGTCATGTAATCATTTATGAACTAAGTGGAATATCACAAATAGAAAATAAGATCACAATATTCTTTTTATTAGCCCAGGCCTTTCACAATCCTGAATATGAATAAAAATATTTCTCTTTACAACCAAATGACAAATCTTATAAAGCTGGTGTTTTAATAAGCTCTTATTACAAAAATTATATGCAAAGCTGAAAGTTAAGTGCTGTTAAGTATTTGTGTCTTGTGATTTAATTATCATGATTCTGCTTATTCTTTTTTCCATTAAATGTAAAATTTAGTGTTTTCTTTAATTTAGATTGTGCTCTTCATAACTAACTTTGCCATACAACTGTTTCCATTATAGTACTTGAAGTAAATTTTCATTTTACTTTACCATCTAAAAGTTTTCATTGACTTAATTTATGCACCTAAAGTCCATTTGATTTGCTGCTTATCAAGGAGTTAGACTGCTGTACTTTCCTGAACTGGTGTAACTCAGTGAAAAATGGCCAATTAAATAACAGACTGGGCTTCACATTTTCTTTATCACCAAAATTCAAATACGTATATAAGTATAGACTCACTGTAGTAAGTAAATGAATTTCTAACACCATGTGTGCAAGTTTTGTGATCTGTCTAATGAAATGTAGCACAAGTTATATATATATATATATATAACATTCATTTTAAAAGTTGAAGTTCTTTTAACCTATATTTTTACACAAACATTCGAGAAATGCTAATGGCATTCTCTTAAACCTCTTTAGGTAGCTTCTGTTTCAAGTTTTATGCTGTATTTGGTAGTATTAGCTTAATTTTATTATTTATTGTCATGTTTCTTTGTGTTTTTGTTAATTTGAAAAGCATGATATCTGATTAGGGAAAGTATATAATTATCATAGCTTTCAACAAGTTAAAGACTCCTAAGGTTTTTTATGAAAATCGTATATATATATATATAAGTAAGCATATGAAACAGTGAAATGAATTTTTTTATAATTAATTTTGTAAAATGTTCAGAACTGATATGTGTGTGTAATAAAAGTACAGTACAGGTTGATAGTAAGTGTATTGTATACAAAGGTTATAATATATGGTAATAAAAGGTAATCAAACATTAATATTTAACACATGTAGAAGCAGTTTTAAGAAAACTAAACAATAGTATTAGCTGAATTACTCTTTTTCCATTTCATTTAGATAAAATCCCAATAAAGATAAAAAAAGTTAAACAAAGGAAATATGGTGTTCTTAGTAAGTCTGAGAGTTTTCCAGAAGATTCAGACTTGGCACAAGAGCTACATTGTGATGCTGTAAAATACATACAGGTAAGACAAAAGATAAAGACTAATAAGATGTAGTGTTGTTCAAATTGTATGATAATCATGTAATCTTTTGTATTCAAAAATATTCACTACATTATTATTTAGTTTTGATGAATAGAATTAGATTTGGTAACATACTCACCTTAAGGTAGTATTATACCACTTTGACAGATTAGTTTGTAGTATTTGGTTAAAAGCCAAAGTGACAAGCTGTAATGAAAACTGCTCTTGATCCACACAGAAGATAAGTGAGGGAAAAAAAAGATGATTACTGTGAGAATACTAAAACTAGAAATCAAAGGGTTTGTGGGTCCTTAGGTTAGACTGAACTGACTTGCTTGATAATTGGTATTAACTATTGTGGATTCCTTCAATACCATAAATTCATATTTTAGAAATTTGGGAGTCAAAGGGGTATGGAAGGCCTCAAGCTTGGATACATTGACTTAGATTGGCTTAGACATCTGAGGATTGTTCCAAATACGTATGCGTTTAATATTTTTGAAGTTTTCATATTGAAGCCTCCAAATGAAGATCAAGTGATTTTTTGGGCTCTCAGGATTGGCTGCACGAGTTTACATTGTAATTGATGAGAGCATGTAAATAGTAACTAGGGTCCGAGTGCATATAACTACATGAAATAAAGAATTTTTATTAGAAACAATAGAAAAAATTTAATATTTTATTTTTCTGAACATATGTACTTTTAGGAACATTCTTGTCAAATTTCAAGCAATTTCATCCATAGTTTTATTTTGGAAAGACATTTCACTAGAGCTACATAATTTTCTTCCAACTGACATATATTGTCCCTAAAGGGTTAAAATGTATTATGCTGAGGTATGTCAATAGCAGTTGTAATAGAACATTCATTAATTGTTTTATCTTATTAATGAGGGTTTTTATTTGCTTAATGTTAGAATGTTTCATGAAACAGAACTGAACTTTATTCAAGCAGTGTCTTCATATGTTGACCCAAGTTTTATGTGGTAAATTATACTGCTAGAAATTAGGTTTCATTACCCATGGTGGGCACAGCACAGATAGCCCTTTGTGTAGCTTTGTGCTTAATAACAACAACTTTGATATGAAAGTTCAGTGAAAAAACACTTTAAAACTCTTGGTGAATGTAACTTATAATGTTTTAAACCATTTGAGGTTTATATGCAAAATCACAAACATATATATTTTCCTTTTACCTGTACTTGCCATAAATTGTTCATATTAAACCTGTGTTGAACCAGCTCACTTTGTGGGTTGTGAACTTGAAGTAACAACTTGTAGTATTATTGCAGTATCCATTATTTTAATATTAAATAGTGTTGTAATGGACAATGCTTAGTTTATACTTGTTTTCATGTAAATAACATCAAAAAATCATTCTAATAACATACCAGAAGTATTATTATAAAAAAAAATTAAGTTGAAACTACTGAAACAAACATTTTTAAATAACAAGTTGCTTGTACAATGTTTCATATTTAATTTTATTACTGTTTGTTGAATTGTTGCATACAGGTGTTTATAATGTCTGAGTCTGTAATGATTACAGAGAATAAACAGAAGGGAGGTACAATTTTTTTAGTAAGTAACTTATTTTTATCATCATACTTTTGTTATGATTTTACATGTAATTTGTCATACTTATTTTCATTAATGATAAGGGTTAATGCACAAACTTTTGCAGGTTAATTTTGTAATGTTAACATACTTTGCAATAAAATTGGTGAATATGCTACATGTGTGAAAAAAGTGTTTTAACACTGTTAGTCACTATTAAATCCCATCAATGTTGATTCCTGTACATGGTGAGGGGATCTCCCAAAGAAGGTTCTGTATTTTTAGTTTACCTCCACTGGGATTTGAACATCCATCCACATGTTTGCCGTGCGTGGTGACCTGTGAAGGGGAGGAGAGGATCCTTGTGGTTGAGGGGTGTCAATGGCACTTTAACACACCACTTTGGCCTTGAATTCCTGTAGATGAGTTGGTCCTGTTGGGATAGACTCAACTGAGTATCAGTGTTGGGCATTCACAACGGGTGTTGTGGACATTGTGTCTGATGCTGGTTTTTAGGTATAGTGCTCACGAAGCCCAAGCATTTCTACACTGTCCTTGTTTATCATTGTACTGTGTCCCCTTCTAGGACTCCATGGTGGATGGGGTCAGTGGGCACTGAAGCTTTTTCCTCTTCATATGGATCTCCCAAAACTACAAAAAAATAAATTAATAACAGCAGTTAATAGGTAAGTGACTATAGTCACCACCAAAGTCAGTTCCTGTACCTTGTTTTCTAATTTTATATTCTTTGACTGAGAAATCATTAGTGCAAATGTCTCCCTTTTTAAACCAGATGGGATTAGAGGGGCTTGCTGGCTCTCCATAGTTAGTGAAAAGTGATGTTCTGGGGATATTTTGGTTGAAACATCTGTGCCACATCATAGCGAGCTCCTCCTGAAAAGGTCATTGGGAACATACCTTGAGATTACTTCCCATGCTACTTTCAATTCCTCATGAGGAATTATCATACATAAGGATTTAAAGACCATCCCCGAGATGGAGAACCTCACTGGTTTCTCCAGCCAAGGAGTTTCAGCTGTGTGACATATCTTCACTCGTAAAGAAGGAATTATGGTGCCTAGCAATGTTCTTGTATTGAAGCTTTTATTGCCGCATCTGCCTGCTACTGTCAAGGAAAGTTATCTGAACTGTAAGGTATGGCTTTATATTCCTAACACTCAGGTTTTTCCAGTGTCAGCAGTTTGGACATTCTGAGACATCTTGTTGTGAATCTTTCATGTGTTCTCATTGTGGTGGCAAAGACCATGATGCCTATGAGTATCAACTGTACCATCACTGTGTCACTTGTGATGGTTCCTACCTCTGTTACTTTCCATTTTGTCCTAATTGGGTGGAAGAGAATGAAGTACAACGTTTACATACTGTAAACAACATTTTTTATCCAGAGGCTTGGAAGTTGTTGGTTGTTGTCCCCTGTTCCATCTCGGTCATATGGGCCAGGCTTTTTAAGTGTCCAATTTGATGTCGCCAGTGTTCTGGGGCAAATTTCTTTGAGTATGTACCTTATAAAACCATATAATAATTTCTAAATGATAGACAATGGACAGAGCTTTCCAAACATATATAATATGTTTAGTTTGTGTCAAGTTTTTCCAGCAAACCAAGGAAATAAACAATGGTGGGGTGTTAAAAGTAGCATGTCTCCAGCAGAAATATTTAATTTCAAAGCAATAACACAAACAAAAATTGTAAGTATGACTCAAGTCTTTATTGTGATTAATGAGTGAACATTTATGTTTTGAAAATTTGTTATTAGTTGATTGAACCATTCCTTTTTACATATGAAAGTATCCAAAATAACATGTCGCCGTAATCATGTGTTCTCCTTCATGGTCATTTATTTTCATGACAATAATTAGAAATGTTTCAGTAAATAAAAAATTAAAGTCTAAAATTTAAGTATATAATTTGATTTGATCGTACTCTAAACATGGTATCAAGAGATATTTTGGGTATGTCCATTTGGAAATAAAAGTAGGTTTTTTAAGCATGTGGTCTCCTTCACACATAGAGCTAGTGTAGATACTCAAATAATGCCATTTTGTTATAACGTTATACACAACAACCAAGACATTTGTTGTTATCATTAACCGAAAGGGTAAGAGTAAATTGCATTCTTCAGTAAAAATCACTTAACATGAAATGGTGTGAACTACTTTACGTGTTTACCTTTACTTCAGTGGGGAATATATGCTTTTCCCATCATAATTAGTTTCCACTGTGTGTAAGTGATTCAGGTAGGGTGGATTTGAAATGTATTAGTCACAAATCATCTCATTTTCCTGCATGGTAGTCTCCTGCCTGTCAGCAGGCACAGAAGGCTCAGAAACGAGCCTGGGATGCATTTTGCAGGTATCTCATACTTTCTAACTGCATTGCTTTCCAGTGGGCCTGTGCCCATGCTTGGCATGTCAGATGTCAAACCCAGAAGAAATCTTGGATTAGGTTCACAACCAGCATTACTTCTTCCACCAGTTCCAAAATCACCTAAGATAAGATTTGGAAGATCAGTGTGAGGTATTCTTCCCATCCCCTTTCCATCTTACTCTCCAATGGCAAAGAAGTTGCTGATGTGCAGAGTATTGCTGATACTCTTAGGGAGTGCTTTTTTTACCTTTCCAGCACCTCTGTTTTTCCCTGCCTTCTTGGCCATTAAGTCTCAACCTGACCTATTGCCCCTTTCCTTTTGGACTGATTGTCTCTCTGATTATAATCGCCCATTTACATTGGTGGAACTTAAGCTTGCTCTTCATCTCTCTGCACCATCTTTCTCCTGCCTCTCTTACCCTTCTTCTGGTTGTTTTTAACCGGATCTGGCAGGAGAATGGTTTTCCAGATGTTTGATTGTTCTCCCTTTTTCAAAGTCTGGAAAGGATACAAGAGCCCTTCCAATTATCATCCAATTGCTTTAACATTGTAAGGTCCTGGAGAGGATGGTTAATGTTCCTTGTATTTGGTTCTTTGAATCAAAAAACCTCTTCTCGCCGATTCAATGTGATTTTCATCCACAGTGCTCCACCATGGATCACCTGATTCAACTTGAAACTTTGATCAGGGAAGTTTTCCTCAAGAGAGAACATCTTGTTTCTGTCTTCTTTGATCTTGAGAAGGCTTATGACACTATATGGAGGTTTGTCATTTTACAGGACCCCCATTTATATGGGTTACGTGGCCATTTACACATTTTTATTTGTAACATTTTACGTGACAGTTGATTCCAAGTCTGTGTGGGTGTGACCATTTCCTGTTCCTTCATGCAGAAACCCGGCTGTGTCCTGAGTGTCACTCTTTTCAGTATCAAAGTCAATGCTATCACTAAACAACTTCCTCCTACGGTTGCAAATGGCCTCTATGTCAACGACTTCCACATTTCTTGTGAGTCGACAAACATGAGTTTTAATTGGGCAGCAGCTTCAGATTGC